CTCTGGATAATGATCTCCTTATTACATAGGGTTGTCTGTTTTCTCTTAAACACAGGTGAATTGTTTGTTTTCTCTTAAACACACTGGAATTTTATCTAGGTGCGATGTTTGACGTGGTGTGAGAGAGTTGTTCTTCCTTTCTTTTCGGGTGGTTTCTTCTGAGAGCTGCAGCTGGGGTGTAGGTTGTACAGTGCTCCCAGGTCAGTCCCCCGTTCCTGACTCCTCTCCGCTTAATATCTTGTGTATGTCTTCAAAAAAAATGTTTTTTTAAACAATTTCACTGACATGCCCCTGCCTCTTTTCCTGGCTCTCCAATACTCTGAACTATGAAATAATGTGTACACTATCCCTGCTTTCTTTTTTTTTTTTTTTTTTAAAGTTTTTTTTTTTTAATGGAAATCACTCAGGATAAACATCCTCAGAGATACAAATTCCCCACTTGGGACAAGAAAAAAGATCCTACTGATCTACTTTGTCTCTTCATAACTGCTGGAAGGATGTCCCTTCTAGAAGAAAGAAGTTTGGGGGTCGGGAGACAGCAGGTTTGATAAACTCTTCCCCAAGAACAAGGGCAAATCTACCGGGATTCTAGTTACTTTTCCAGAAGGGAATTACAAAGCATCAGTGAAGCATCAGTGCTGTCTCCTATTTTTGTTTCACATTTTGAATAATATTAAAATGCATACATTCAAGAGCCCCTGGGTTTGTCTTCTAGGAAGCACAGCGTATGGCCATTAAGGGCCACTCTTGCTTGTGGGTCGCCTTTAGCTGTCGAGTCAGATACGATTAGACTATCCCTGCTTTCTTAAACAGAGGCCTGACACTGAAGGATGAGTGGAATTTCCCAGTACTAGACAAGAGGTGCACATTCCTGGCAGAGTGACCAGCATATATAGAGGCCTAGAGGCATAGAGCAGCATAGCCTGTTTGAAAATTGCTATTTTGTGCAAATATTTTTGTATTTCTCTTATGTATATAATGTTACTTGGTGTCTTAAAGGCCACGCACACTTACCCCTCAAGCCTTTGCATTTCTGCAGGTTTTTCTCATGGCTTTAGCAATTCAGTATTTCCAACTGCTCCCTAGGCCAGTGGTTGGCAAACTCATTAGTCAACAGAGTCAAATATCAACAGTATAACGATTGAAATTTCTTTTGAGAGCCAAATTTTTTAAACTTAAACTATATGGGTAGGTACATTGTTATTAACTTAATTAGGGTACTCCTAAGCTGGCCTTTGCTAAAAACGTCCTCAATCTGATTGAGGTACGTTCGCTGAGGTCAACCCCTTCCAACTCTCCCATCCACACTCGTCTTGTGTACTTGTTTCGTCTATCTCCTTTCGTTCATCCTCTCTATATGTCCACCCCCCACTTCTTCTAACGCCACTTCTTCAAAATGGACTCGCCCGGGCCGAAAACCGACTTCTCTGCACATGGGCCACGAAGTTTCAATCACACTGTACGTGCGTGCCCGCACGTGGTATTTTGTGGAAGAGCCACACTCAAGGGGCCAAAGAGCCGCATGTGGCTCGAGAGCCGCGGGTTTGCCGACCACTGACTGCCCTAGGCAATCTACCCTATTGTAATGAATCCCCTTTTAACAAACTGCAATCTCAAAATGTTAAAAGGGGATTCATTATTTTTCCCACAAATCAAATCATTTTTCTTGTCCAACAGTAACCTTTCCAGTCTCTCAAGCTTGAAGTCTTTAACTTGTATCATAAGTGGTTTTCCTCTATTCCGAGTTACTGAGTACATTGCCTTTCCATTCAGCTTTCCCTGTGACTCATCCCCCCTCCGTTTTTGTATTGCCTTTCTCTCATCTCGGCTGTTATCGGGCCAGGACTGTTCAGCAGGCTCCATTTCCTGCTTCTCACCTCTTCCCCCTTCACTCTATTTCCCACATGGCTGCCAGGTTTATACATTTTCAAAAATGCTTCTTTCTTTCCATCACTCGTCTCTGCTGAACCTCTGGTACCTAATCATCTATAGAGGACAACATCTAAATTGTCCAGTTTGACTTTCTGGGTTCATGCCTCTCACCTTCCAGGGTACAAACAATATGTAGCTAGACTGGACTTCTCACTCTGCCTTGGGTATATCCCCCCCACCTAGTTTTATGCTCTTAATATTTTAATAGGGACTCCTTTATCCCCCTCTTTTGACCTAAAAGAACATCAGAGAACACTGGGTTTGATACAGTTTCTGACAGGATGGCCCTGACTTTCGGTGCCTGGGGCTAGTGTGTTCCGCCTCAGTAGAGTTTCTCTACTATTTATAATGTCTAAATCTTTCTCTTTCTCTGTGCCACTCTCTTTTTTTAGTGCCATATATTGTCTTGTTTATTTAATGAATACTTATTGTCATCATGTCTAGAGTGTAAGCATCATGAAGGTGCTTAATACCTTGTGTATGTCTTTAAAAAAATTTTTTTTAAACACACCTTTATTTGACGTTAGGGAGAGGAAGGGAGAGAAACATCGATTCAGTGTTCTACTTTATGCATTCAGTGGTTGATTCTTGTATGCTCCCTGACCAGAGATTGAACCCACCATCTTGATGCATCAGACAACTCTCCAACCGAGCTACCTCGCCAGGGCCTGTGTACGTCCTTAGATACTTCGGTGGCGTTTAATTTAAACTTTAAGGTATCAAAGAAATTACTTTAACATATCGCCCTCTTACCGAGTGCCTTAGGGAAGGACAAAAGTGATGGAGTGTCAGTTCAATTATCACTTATGCAGGAGCCCAACATTTGAGCTAATTTTCTAGATGTAAGTTACCTCTTTAAGCACTTAAATTTAATGTTTCCACTTAAATATTTATTACTGCCCTATGGTAAGCACAGAGCACTGATGACTATTTAACCTTGTTTTTTGATGACTTACTCATATTTGTGAGACTTACTCATTTTTTTTTAATCCTAGTCCTCAGAAACACATGGTAGACACATGTTGGAATTATTTCTTTATTTTTAATTTTTTAAAATATATTTTGATTGATTTCAGAGAGGATGAGAGAGAATCATTGATCAGTTACCTCCTGCACGCCCCGCACTGGGAATCCGGCCCACATTCGCAGTCTGCGCATGTGCCCTGACTGGGAATCGAACTGGTGACCTCCTGGTTCCTGAGTTGATGTTCAACCACTGAGCCAAGCAAATTATTTCTGATTAAAAATGTCATTGTTATGATTTGTTACCATGTCATATATATAGAATGTATGTTTCTGGGAGGTTTTTTGTTTTGTTTGTTTTTTGCCAGTCTAATTATTTGCCTCTTATAAAAGTAAAATACATCATCTGTAGCTTCATGATAGACTATTATCTAATTTTGAATGAAAAAAATGAGGTTATATATTTAAAAATGCATTAAGATGTATAATTATGATTTGTTAACTTTATATAAATAAAACTCAATAACAAAATATTCGGATCACCTCTCCTCAGCTTCCTCACCCTTAGTACAATCGTTGTTTTTATTATCTCTCAATGCCTTTTTGTCATATGGGTGGCAGAGAGGCTGGGCTAGATGAGAGACTTGATTTGGGAGAAAGAGCCAAGTTGATGGTGTGAGAAGCCCAAGAGTTCGCCAGGGTTGTCTGAGCTGTGTGCTCTACTCTGAGAGCCAGCAGTCTGGGGACCTAAGTGATCAGCAAGGGAGGGCAAGTGCTCTGGCTCCGGCTGTAAGGCAGACAGCCCAGATCATCGACCTTAGGCAGGGTCTTTCTGCCTTTTGGCCTCCCCTGTACCCCTGAGCCAGGGGAGGAAGGGCATTCCGTGTTAGAGCCTACAATTGTGAGTTTCAGAAAGAGAACAGCTACAGAGATAGTTCTGACCACTTAACCTTTTCTGGCAGGATTTCCTTCTCTTGTTTTAGCGCTAGTAACTGCAGTATTCAAAACAGAGTAGTCTCTAGAGTGCCTTCTGGTGGCAACTGCCAAGGGTTTCAGCCCTTCCCAACACAGCTGCTGGTTAGACGCTCCCTTAGGCTCCCTGGGGAGCTGAACACGTCAGTTTCTCAGCCGCCTGTCGTGTCCTCTAGCCTTTGGATTTGGTCTACCCGAGTCACCTTAAATAAAAGGTCTGCTTCATAGTGTGACTGAGTGTCCTTTCCAAATACCTCAGTCCCTCAGAGGCTTGGAGCATTTGGCAGCAATCCTAACTGCTCTTGCTTTTCTCTAATTCCCAGGATCAGTTTTGTAGATTATTCTCAGAAATCATTCCATGTGAACTTAAAAACCCCAAAGTCAAAAGTGTTAGTATCAGTTCTGTGTACTGATTACTGATCAGGCAGGCCTGTGTCTTCTAGACGAGCGGCTTTAAACATGGAGGACCCCCAAGAGCTTTTGTTTACGTGGCTTATATTTATTGATATTTACTGTATTAGAAATTAAAGCAAAGTTTTAAAATATTTATCAATTCATTTAAAAATAATAAACCATTTACCTAAATAAATTCACTTAAATATATAACAAGTTAATGTAAATTATTTTTTATGGAAAAGAATATATTTTCCAAAAAAGAAAAATTAGAAGAGTGAAAAGTTTACATATTTGTAAATCTTTAATAATCTCCTTTTTAGATAACTGTGGGTATTTTTCTTTGATAGTATACTCAAACTTAAATGGTGTTTTCTTAAAGATTAGTTGCAGTGTGGAATCTGAAACTATGTTAATGAACTTTTCATACCTAGTACTCTTGGGAAAGAATGTGTGAAAAGACAACATTGTTTGAACCTTACAGTAGCCCCATGACGTCATGAGGCATATATTGTTATTTCCATTTTACAGATGAAGTGATTGATCCAGGAGAGAGCCACTTAAAAATCTCTTTGTGACAGAACTACTTGTGGTTTAGAATTGCCTCTCATGTGCTAGATTTAATTTTGGGACTAGATTAATTATCCAAAGAATAAAGTCTCCCTATTCAGATGACTGTGTGATTTCTATTTGTCCGATATATGCCTTTTTTAAAACTCTGTATTTTATTTTTATTCTAGACTTATTCTGGACTCTTCTGTGTAGTCATAAATCCTTACAAGAATCTTCCAATTTACTCTGAGAATATTATTGAAATGTACAGAGGGAAGAAACGTCACGAGATGCCTCCACACATCTATGCTATATCTGAGTCTGCTTACAGATGCATGCTTCAAGGTAACTGGAAACGTTACAATACGAAATGCTTAGAGTTTCTTAAACGTCATTAGGTTCTTATTAGATGCTACATTTATCAAAAAAAAATATTAACATTTTTAAAAATTAGAAATTAAAGTAATAAATGTTTATTGTAAAAAATTATGAATTCTTAAAATTAGAATGGGCAAAATGGACATTTTTATAGGAAGCTGGTATGTTCCTTGCTTCATAAATACTCCATGTTAATTTTTATGTTCAAAAGCTCCTAGGCTGTATATACATCTGATCCATACCACAAGCCAGTATAAGCAAAGCTCTGTTGCATTAGGTTTTAAAACCAACAGGAAGAGCCAGCAGGAAGAATAATAAACAGAAAAGGTGAATGTTTCATTGAGGAAAGAAAGGTTATAAAATATTTCTTATTTAAATATGTGTAAAAGAGACAGCAAAAGTTAAAAAATGTGTTGAGTTGGTTGAGTTTTGTTTTCTTTTGGATTTAGAATGAAATATAAATGTAAGGAGTCATTCATTTGAATCATGGCTTTAGACACAATGGTTTGTGGAAGGACATGTTTTAAAAAACCAAAATGTAGTAGTTTTTAATGCACTTAGCATTGCTCAAAAAGACTACATTATACATGGGACTTGCTAGTGCTATGTGAAGTATAACTCCCCCTCTATCTACTTTTATTTTTTTTAATAAATTCGATAACATATATTAAAATCTATATGGTTCTTATAAAGTAGTTCCATTATCAGAAAACAGGACATGCTATATCCACCTATCATCAAAGTTTGTAGGTCATGGAAAGGCTGCCTTGGTGACTGGGTCTGAAGGGGAGTGTGAGGGAATTAATAAATTACAATACCCATTTCCTCCTTCAAGTTTTGTTTGGATACTTTTACGTACCAGATCCTCTGAGGCAAATAGGAAGTACTTCAAGATTAGAATAGTGTCATAGATTGGTAAGGACAGGTTCAATATCCAAAATCAGCTTAGGCTTAAAAAAAGATTATATTTAATAACCTTTCAGAGCTAAAGAATACTAAGAATGGCTATAGCAGTGATAAATTGCTACGAGATAATGGAGAAAGAAGAATTGTCAGCTTCTTTGTTTTTGGTTTTGTGTCTCTCTCAAGAATAATCTTTATTTACAGAAAAGCATGTAATGTATGAATGAGCAAACTTTGCCTTATATGGGAGAAGAAATTAGAGAAGGTACACTTCTTCCCTAATTGAAACCATAGTTCCTCATTTAAACAAATATGTTCTGCCCTAGCCGGTTTGGCTCAGTGGGTAGAGCTTCGGCCTGCAGACCAAAGGGACCCGGGTTTGATTCCGGTCAAGGGCATGTACCTTGGTTGCAGGCTTCTCCTCAGCCCGGGCCCTGGTTAGGGCTCATGCAGGAGGCAATCAATTGCTGTGTGTCTCTCACGTCGATTTTTTTTCTTTCTGTCTTTCCCTCTCTCTTCCACTCTCCCTAAAAATCAGTGGAAAAAATATCCTCGGGTGAGGATTTAAAAAAAAAAAAAAAGACAAATACATTGTTACAATTGAGATTGTAACTCTGGTCTTTGAACTAAAAGGGGAGTTTCCAGAATGCTGGGATGGGCTCACATATATAATTCTAATTTTTTAAAGGGAAGAAACATCCTGGCCAGTGTGCTCAGTGGTTAGAGCATCAGCCTACACACCAGAGGGTCCCAGGTTCAATTCCCAGTCAAGGGCCATGTACCTGGGTTGCAGGTTTGATCCCAAGCCCCAATCAGGGTCAGGGCACGTGTGGAAGGCAGCCAATCAATGTGTATCTCTCACATCAATGTTTCTCTCTCTTTCTTGCTCCCATCCTCCCTCCCTTCCACTCTCTCTAAAAATCAATGGAAGATTAACAAAAAAAAAGGAGGTGGGGGAGAGACACTTCAGACTGCTGAGCTTAATACACCTGCCAGGAAAGATTCTGGACTCTATTGTTAACAGTCTAAAAACAACATGAAAATACCACGTTGCTTTAGCTTGGTAGGAAGGGAAATACAGTAGACAGTGTAAACAGAGAGACTCTACATGCATTCCGTAGTCTGCCATGATATCCTTGTGGCTGTAGACTGAAAAGTTGCACTTGAAGTGCTTTTTTTTTTTTTTTTAATATATTTTATTGATTCTTTACAGAGAGGAAGGGTGAGGGATAGAGAGTTAGAAACATCGATGAGAGAGAAACATCGATCAGCTGCCTCCTGCATACCACCCACTGGGGATGTGCCCGCAACCAAGGTACATGCCCCCGACCGGAACCGAACCTGGGACCCTTGAGTCTGCAGGCCGACACTCTATCCACTGAGCCAAACCAGTTAGGGCTTGAAGTGCTTTTAATGATTGAGGTTGGCCAGGTTTATCAGGGTGTGCACAATGGGTTTGTGCCCTTCCCAACATCTTTGTCAGTATACTTAATGATGGGGGATGCATGCCCATAAAATTCGTAGATGACACAAAACTGGGAGGGAAAATAAATATATCTGATGAAAATAAACAGAGTTTTTAAAATATCTTGACAGGTTGAATGGGGAATTAGATCTAACAAAATAGTTAATGGGTAAATGTTAATGTCCCAGCGCAGAAGGAGCAAGTGGCTCTCTGACTGCAGGAGGCCTGAGGTAGATGCCGCCAGGACTCTGAGAGTAGGGGACTTGACTATCCTCATCTGTCAATAAAGCTGTTGTCTTTAAAAAAAAAAAAAAAAAAGATGTGGCTTATCAGCACATCATAGTATTAATACCATCATTAATGCTCAACGAACATTTATTGAATATTACTGTGTGCCAGGCACTGAGCTCATTGCTTTTATGTGTATTAGTTAATCCACAACAACAACCCTGAAAAGTAAGTATGATCACTTATCCCTATTTTATGTGGCACAAAAGTTAAAAATGTAACCAAGAAAATGTAACTAGTAAGAGGTATGAGCTAGGATCCAAAACCAAGGCAATGTGACACATTCTTATCCACAAAAATAAACTTCAATGTAAAAGTTAAAAGGAATTACAGTAATTTATAGCTTTTATTGCATAATAATTTACAAATTGATACAGGAAATTGAAAAAAAATGCTAAACAGTTCTGTTGTATTCCATTGTGTAAGCAGGGGGCCACCTGCTAATGTACTACATACACAGCACAGTTGGGTTGGGACATCTGATAGTTCATTGCATATGCGGTGACTGACCAAGCTCAGGCTACCTTCCAATGCTGATCAATCCAGGTTTTCAATTACAAATGTGAGCAAGTAACTAAATGTAACTGGGCCTCTGAAGGATCTGCTGCTAGAGAAGAGGGTACCATGCAGAGGATTCAGAGCATGTGGTCCCACTCAACGGTTCGTTTAATGCAAAATAGAAGAAAACTTAATTTTTTTCTTAAGTTTCAATAAAATCCTCAATACATATTTATTGAATGAATGAGTGAAAGTAATGTTGTTAGACATAAACTTTATTACAAAAATTACAAATTTAGTTTTTGTTAAATATATACCTAGACATGATATATACTCTAATAATAACTAGGCATTTCATGTTTTTACTATTAAGTGGAACTTAAAATTTTTAAGTTTCTAATTCACTGTTAAGGTATAGTAATATTCTTTTTTAAATATACATTATATTGACCTTGTATTTTGCAACCTTGTAAAACTCACTAATTCGGGAAGGTTTTTTGTAGATTGTTTGGGATTTCCTGTATAGACAGTCATGGCCTTTGTAAATAGAGACGTTGTTTTTTCCTCCTTTTCAATCCTCTGCTTCTAATTATTTTTCTTGCCTGTGATGCTGGAAAGCTATTGTGAGAACAGACATCCTTGCCTGCTCCTCATCGTAGGGGACAGCATTGAGTTTTTCACCTTTGAAGATGATATCAACAAAAGGTTTCTCTGTAGGTGCCCTTTATCAGGTTGATGAAATTCCCTGTGTTCCTAGTTTGCTGAGGTTTTTTTGTTAGTTTGTTTAAATCATGAATGGATATTGAGTTTTATCAAATGCTATTTCAACATCTATTCAGATGATTACATGGCTTTCCTTTTAGTCTGTTGATACAGTGCATTAGATTGTTTGCCTTTTGGATGTTGAGCTAACCTTGCATTTCCAGGATAAACACCACTTGCTCCTGTACATTATCCTTTTCATATATTGTTGGATTTGATCTGCCAACATTCTGTTAAGAATTTTTGTGCCCTAAAAAAAAAAGAATTTTTGTGCCCTTGCTTATGAGAGATATTTGTATGTCATTTTCTTTTATTATAATGTCTTTTTCTGATTTTAGTATCAGGGTAAGGCTTGTCTTTTAGAATGGGATGGGAAGTGTTTTTCCTCTTCGGTTTTTCTGAAGAGTTCATATAGAATTGGTATTATTTCCTTAAATGTTTTGTAGAATTCACCAGTGAAGCTGTGTTTCTGTGTGGGAAGGTTTGTTTTGGTTTGTTTTTTAATCATCACCCGAGGATATTTTTTTCTATTGATTTCAGAGAGTGTGGAAGGTTTGACTCCTGCAACACAGGTATGTGCCCTTCACCAGAAATCGAACCTGTGACCTTCTGGTGCACAGGATGATGCTCCAACCCACTGAGCCACACTGGCCGGGCTGTGAGGTTTTTAATTACACATTGAATTTATTTATTTATTTATTTTTAAATATACTTATTGATTTTTTTACAGAGAGGAAGGGAGAGAGATAGAGAGTTAGAAACATCGATCAGCTGCCTCCTGCACATCTCCTACTGGAGATGTGCCCGCAACCCAGGTATATGCCCTTGACCGGAATTGAACCTGGGACCTTTCAGTCTGCAGGCCAATGCTCTATCCACTGAGCCAAACCGGTTTCGGCTGAATTTATTATTTTTTTTATTGCGGTATAATTGACATATAATATCATACTAGTTTTACCAATTCAATTTCTTTCTTTTTTAAATTGATTTTAGAGGGAGAATTGGCTGCCTCCTACATACCCCCAACCGGGGATTGAGGCCAAAACCCGGGCATGTGCCCTGACTGGGAATCAACTGGTGACCTTTTGGTGCACCAATGACATCAACCCACTGAGCCACACCAGCTAGAGCTCAATTTCTTTAATAGATATAGGACTGTTGAGGTTATCATTTCTTCTTGAGTGAGCTTTAATAGTTTATGTCTTTCAAGAAACTGTCCCTTTAATCTTAGTTATCAAAAGTTTTTACATAAAGTAATTCCTAATATTTCCTTATTATTCTTTTAGTATCTGAGATCTGTAGAGGTGTTGCCTCTACCTTCTTTTAAGGTAGGAGCTGAAGGCATTGATTTAAAACTATTTTCACTGTTGAAAATATCATTTAATTTGTATGGATTTATTGAGTATCTCCATAAATGGTATGTGATTTTGGGAAGGTACTTTGGAAAATATGAGTTATCAGGTGAGTCCCTAGTCTTCAGAAGGCTATTTGCATTTTTTAAAATTAAAATTGTTTCCTTTAAATATCAATATACAGTCTAGCCAGTTTGGGTCAGTATTTGAGTGTCAACCTATGAACCAGGAGGTCATGGTTCAATTCCTGGTCAGGGCACATGCCCGGGTTGAGGGCTCGATCCGCAGTGTGGGGAGTGTAGGAGGCAGCCAATCAATGATTCTCTCTCATCATTGATGTTTCTCTCCCCTCCCCCCTTCCTTTCTGAAATCAATAAAAAATATTTTTAAAAAAATACTAATATAAGGCTGTGTCTGGTCACATTTATAGGTTTTTCAAGATCAGTGTATAAATTGCCATAGTGCTGCTGAAGTTGGTCCTTGAAGGATGTAGAGAACTGAGTGAAGCAGAAGGGAGGAGTAGGGGTGGGACAGTCCTAGTTGGAGAGAATCTTGGAGGTTATGAAGCCCCTCTCCTTACTGTACTGCTAGTGACACTGAAGCCTAAAGTCAGACAGATGAGTAAGAGAATAAACAAGTCTCACTTAGAAGACAGTTGTTTTGTTTTGTTTTTGGCTGGGGGGTAGAAGCATGGGAAATGAAGTATTGCGCAGATTTGAAGGATAGATTTGGGTTGTCTAAGTCTCAAATTTCAGACAATGATAATAGCATGTACAGATGCAGGAAGAAAACCATTCTCATGGATTAAGGATGGAATGCAATTTAATTTTGGTTAATTTTTGTGTTTCAGTTTCTTTACATCTATAAACCAGTTTACAAAAGCCATTAAAAAACACTTGGTGTAGTGGGGTTCTATAGAAATTGCTCAGAACAGAAGAATCTCAGGGTCTGACAATTCATATTTATAGTGAACTAGAGGCCTGGTGCACAAATTTGTGCATGGGTGGGTGGGGTCAGCCGGCAGCCCTGATGGGGGTGGGGTTGGCCGGGGGGAGGGGCCTCAGGAGTTGGCCAGCCAGCTCATCCCCTGGTTGAACTCCTGGTCAAGGGAACAGTTTGCATATTAGCCTTTTATTATATAGGATAAGCAAAGACTTGTTAAAACCTAGTTTTATAGGTAAAGAAGTTGAAACCAGCAGGGAATCAGTGTGTCATCTATAGCTACATTAGTCCGTTTGCAGCAGAGCTGGAGTGAGAACAAAAGATTCCAGATCCCACTACAGTGGAGCCTTGACTTACGAGTTTAATTCGTTCCGTGACGGAGCTCGTAACTCAAATTACTCATATGTCAAATCAAGAAGTGAACGAGTGAGACACATGATACTGGGCTGATGTGGCGTTCACTGTGACGTTTGCTGCGCCAATTAGCGGTGGGGTATCTGAAGCTGGCTCCTACCTCGAATTTTAGCTCGCAACTCAAAACAAGAAATCGGCCGAGAGATGGCTCGTATCTCGAAAAACTCGTTAGTTGGGACACTCGTAAGTCAAGGCCCCACTGTATTTTGCCAGTGCCCAGCATGGTACCCAGCACTGAATTTCTCTTAGCAGGCCTTACCGTTAATTCTGTGGATGAAAAAATGAGAGTTTCTGACCTCAGGCAGCGCATTCTACTGGGCAGGAGTTGGCACTATTGTTTGTCTAACTTGAAAATATGGCTCAAAGAAGGAAACAGGGAGGAGTCTAAGGGAGTGGAGGAGATACAGCGGAGCCAAGCAGGAGAGGATACATGGAGACAGCCAGGTAGTTGTGGATCCGGGCGGAGCGTGTTGAAGAAAGGATATGGCATGACCTCTGGGAAAGTGAGCCGACAGAGGAGGTGCACATCAACTGTGTACTATGAACGCTGCCTACGGCAACCAGAAGGAAGGGAAAACTGGTAGAAGCCACAGGCATACCTTGTTTTATGCACTTTGCTGCGCTTCACAGATGTAGGGTTTTTACAAATTGAAGGTAAGACCCTCCACCAACAGAAAAGATTACAATTTGCTTAATTACAATACTCGCTTTATTGTGGTAGTCTGGAATCTCTGAGGAGGTATGTCTGTATTAGGAGGTAAGCTTTCTGGGCCGGGCAGTAATATAATTCAGTTTATACATAGAATATATGAATGGATTTGCTTATTTTACCAATAGAGGAAAAGGTATGGCATAGTGAGTGAACTCTTTATTTCTCCTTCATGACATGAAATTATCATTGGGCACCTGATGAGGGAAGCAAGCCCAGCATAAGGTAGTGACAAAGAAGCTGTCTAGGCAGGCCTATGACGTTGCGAAGCAATGGTGAGCTTGGTCAGTAGTGTGGAGAACACCGCACTAGAGGCAGACCTGGCTGGTCCTCACCCCACACCTTGCCCTTCAGTACTGTGTGACTTGGGAGGATTACCTGGCCTTCTCGGGGAACATTTCTCATCTGTAAAATAGAGACAGTGATGCTCATTCATAAGTGATCGGAAGTCATACTTCCTACACCGGTGGTTTTGTCCATGGGCCAGATGTGGATTTGAATTTCATCTTTTCATTTGAAAATTGAGTTGAATACTTAAATCATTGATCACTTTAAAATCATGTTAGACTTTTTTCATTGCTCTTGCTTTCCTTATTTTTGTTACATATAACATTTGACTTGAGACAGTGGCTAAACATCACATAGAGATATATCTTCCTTGAACCTTCTTTTCTATTCAGTGTTTGATGCTAGTTCTTTTCTTCTTTAAGGTCACATGGTCACATGGTCACATTAATAATGGTTGTGGGTATTCTTGAAGCCATTCTGAAAGGCATTGGTTTTCCAAACTTGGCCTTCCCTCAGAATCACTTAGGGAATTTACTTAACATGGGATTTTTCAATCCCTACAGCACTTGAAAGTAATTTAGCAAAGATGGCGCTCCAAGAAGTACATTCTTATAAAACTTCCCATCTGAATTTGATAAGCAGAAACGGCTGAGAATCAAGGTTGATAGGCATATAAAGTTTGCTAAGCCTGGGCTGTTATTTATTCCCAGAGAATCTGTCGAAAGAGTAAGTGAACTTGACCGGATTTGGGACTATCTAACAGGTTGGGGAAGCGTTAACTTGACCTGAGAGGTGTACAGTTACTATTTTAGAGGCTGTTACTGTAACTTTATTATATCAGATACTTTAAAAATCAGGCAAATGGTCACTTTCTTTTTCTGTTTGTTTTGTCTTATAGATCGTGAGGACCAGTCAATTCTTTGCACGTAAGTAAATGTTGCATGTTCAGATTCATTTTTGATTCTGCTGGAAAGTAAAGCAATTAATTTTTTTGTATGGAGGGCGGGGTATAGTAGAACGGTAATCTTTGAGTTTGTTGTAAACCTTGTAGTTATTTTTAAAACTAAGATTATATAAATTGCTTAAATTTGGTATTACTGCAAACTGGGTTTTTCACACATTTCATAATGTTAATCTGTGAAACTTCCATCTTTAGTTGTATTTCCAAATGTTGATCTACTAAACATTTCAGTAATGTAGCCATGCTCCCCAATAGGTGTTATTGATTATTATGTGCCTGGTGTTCTGTGCTAAGTACAAGAGAGTCAAGGTTGAATAAAACAGTATCCACAGAAGGAAGTGAGTAGATTTGCACATTCGAGAGGCCACTTTGGCTGTCGTGTGGAAATGGGTTGGAGGAAGAGTTAAAAGAGGAAGAGCAGTATGGAGGCTGGCTGTTCAGTTATCCAGGCAAGAGATGGTGGTGACTCCAGGTAGAGGGGTGGCCACGAGCCTGGAGGAAATGGACGAGTTTCAGTGGCGTTCAGTTCAGGAGACAGACTCGCCAGGATGTGGAGATTTATCCACCTAAAAAAGAGCTGAGAGCAGAGGTGGGGTTACGATGATTTCTGGCTGTTTCCTGACCTGGGAAGATGAGAGAAAGAACAGATTTGGAGAGGAAGATAATGAGTTTGGTTGAGGACACGTTGACTTTGAGGTGCGTACTCATCTAGGTGGAGCTGCCCACTGGGCCATTGGATATGTGGGTGCAGCTCAGGGGAGAGAGCGAGCGAGCTGATGAGCCAGCAGCCTGGATGGTAATGGACGCCGTGCCCGTGAGTGAGATGCCCCAGCAGAATGTGTTGAGAGAGCAGGCCGGCGAGGCAATCCTGGGGAAAAGCGACAGGTGGGGGTCAGGCAGAGGACGAGGAGCTGCAGAGACGGCTAAAACCGGCAGATGTTGCTGAGATGCTTCCAGACCACGCAGTCAGTCGAGTCAGAACCTTTTCCTGGTGGAGGGTCTTGCCTTCAGTTTGTAAAAAAAACTCAACACCAGTGAAGTGCAATAAACAAGGTCTGTGTGTAGTGAGCAGCTAGAGAGAGAACATTTGTTGTTATTGTTGGTGTTTTTAATGTGGGAGAGATGAAATGCTGATGAGAGGGAGGTGGGGGCGGGAAGGAGGGAACTGAGGGGGCCTGGAGGATGGTGAGACCAGAGCGAGGCTGGGTGTCTGGGCTGGGCGGGGACCGGGACCCCTCTACACGTCCCGGAGGCAGACAGGTGCTGAGGTAGGTAAGTAGGGATGGGGAGGCTGGGAATTAAAAAAGTTGTTGTCAAATAGTTTTTCTCTTCCACGAAGTGAAGAGCATTTGTTATCTGGTAGGCAGAGTGGGTTTGAAGGGAGAAGAGAGGTAGAAATAGCTGACACCAGTCTGCTCTGTTGTGTAAACTTCTTTCCAGCATTGCTTAGCCTCTGGGTTATACAAATTAGCTCTTCCTAACCAACAAACCACCCAGGAATTCAGTGCCTTAAAACCGTTTTCCCAGGGATTGGGTTGGGCTCAGCTGGGCGGGTCTGCTGATCCGGGCGGCTGCGCGGTCCCAGGTGGGGCTCACTCCTGCGCCTGCAGTCACCTGCTGGGAGCCGTGCTTTCTCCTCCACCTGTCCCCTCGGTGTGCAGCTGGCTAGCCCTGGTTTAACCTGGTGGCAGGGTTCCAGGAGCAGCGTGAGAGCCAGCGTGAAACGAAGTCCAGGTTTCTGCTTGTGTCACATGTACCGCTGTCCCATTCCCAGGCAAGACACAGGGCCACGGCCAGGGTCCGTGTGGAGACACGGCCAAAGGGAGTGGACACAGCGAGGTGGGACAGTTGGGGCCATTGCTTAGCCACCACGAGTGTGTGGAATGGAACCAGATCCAGTCCACCCAAGTCCAATCCCAGTTTTTGCAAGTGGGTGCAAATGGGCGACAGTGGAGCATAGGAATTGGGGAGATTGGCAAGAGAAACTGTCTCAATGGACCATGGGAAGTGGGCAAAGAGGCGGGGTTTGAGAGGAAGGAAGTAGCTGCATCAAAGAACTAGAGGTCTTGATGAAATGGAACAGGTAATCTTGGGGATACCAAAGTGCCAGGCAGAAAGAGTAGGCAGTGTGGCCGCAGGAGGTGACATGGGAACACCTCGGGTGTGGCAGCAGGAGTGGGTAACTGAAGAGAGGAGGAGGTCATCGGAGTTGAGGGTATCACATTGCCAGGTCTGGGATGTCATTCACATGAGGAGTGGGACTTGGCAACATACCCAGCCCCTGCCCCAGGCCTTCACCACACTGTGGTCTGAGAACATGGGTTATGCATGTGTGCAGATGTCTTTTCAAAATTATCTGTTGCCGCGCAATTCTGACACTGACTTCCCACCTGGTGCCCGCACTATAGACACCAGCCACGAGCTCAGGGGCTCCCAAGGCCTGGGGACTTCTGACAAAGGAACACAAATTTGGGTGTTGCCACTACCCTTCAGAGGGTCCCAAAGACACAGCCGCCATGTCTCTGGACACTTCCTGCCCAGCACACCCTTGTCTGTCACCAGCCAGGAAGCTCCCCTAAGTGCCCAAGTCCAGGGTTTTTATTGGGATTCGTATGTCGGCGTGATTGAACCACTGGCCACAGGGTTGAATTCACTCTCCAGCCCTCTCCCCTCCCAGATCTGGCTGGTATTATGTGGTTCCGCAGCCCAAACCTCTAATCACCCTTTTGGTCTTTCAGCTTGGCCAGTTCCCATCCTGGAATGATCTAGGTGCCCACTATGAGTCACCTCGTTAGCATAAACTGTCAGGGCCCACGTGAATAGCACAGACATTCCAAGGACTTAGAGGCTCCCTCCCAGGAACCGGGGACAAAGACCAGCCAAATTCTTTGTTATGCAGCATGAGTTAATAAAGCCGCAGCCAGCATCTAGTCCCCGAAACTCTCCCGGAACCGAGCCTAGGGAGCTGCATGTTTCTGCGGGTGAGCTAGGGAGGGACAGAGCTGTGTTGCCCATCTGCAGGGCTGCAGTCGGTAACCCTGCAGACAGAGCAGGGAGTCAGGTGCAGGGCACGCACTCTCTTTGATTGGGGGTTGGGAGCTTGGATGACGTTTGCTGATGACTTTGGAATGTCTGGCAGCAGGAAACACTTGGGGAGAGAATGACTGCTGTTTGACCTGACAAGAGGTCAGTGAATACTAATTTACTTCCAGCACCAGAGTGACCATTACAGGCACTAGCACTTGTAATTAGATGGTTATTTCCATTTTAGACTGACGGCTGTCATCAATTAATAGGCTTGGGTATGAGGTAAGTCTCCCTAGCAGCTGGCTACCTCTTGGGCACAGAGTAGCAATCATCAAGTGCCATGTCTGTCTGTTTTGTTTTTCTTTCCCTCCCTCTCTTTCCTTCTTTTTTCTTTCAACTTTTCTGAACATCTTATTTATACTTTTACATAAAGCTGCAGTCAAGACCCATATATCGACCACCTACATTCTATCATTAATATTGTTCTGTACTTGCTTTATTATATATATATATTAACGGGTTCATTCTTTTATCCATCCATTAATCTATTTTTATTTTTGTTGGGAGGAAAACTAACTTTTCCAACTTGGGTCCAGAGTTTGGAGGGTCTGAAAATTAACTGATAACAAAGTTTCTTTACACAGGCATGTGATGAGTAAGTTGCTGAATAGCCAGAAATAAAAAGGCTTATAAACTATACTAAACTTCAGCAAAAAGGGGAGAGTAGGAAGATTAGGGCTTTCTGGGGAAAGTATAGAAGGGTCTATTCGGCTTTGTGATGTTAATAGACAGCTGAATTTACACTCCTTGGTGCTAAGGGTCAGTCTTTTCCCATCAGGCAACTGCCTGGGTGGGGTCAGTGGCAGCTGTATTTTCAGGAGGCTCTGTTAAGGTTAGAGAATGTTTCTTTCTGTGGCTGCTTATTGTTCAGATGTTTTCAGTTTAAGTTTTTATACCACTTTGATGAACTATTAATCCCTTAATTTGATGCATGTCAATACATTTCCCCTTGAATAACATCAACATATATAACAGTTACTACAGAATTTGTATCTTTAACTTTTGAGACAATTTACGTGTAATAAAATGCATACATCTTAAGTGTACATGTGCTGAGTTATTTAAGTAACCAAAATTCCTATCAAAATAGAAAACATTACTATCATCATCACCCCAGAATTCCCCGTGTACTTGCAGCAAATCCCGCCCCTCACTTCTTTTAGCATCGCCACATTTTCTTAATTCTTAGATGCCTCTAGTTATGATCGTTAATAACAGCTTTTCGTATTTCTATCTATTATAAGCTACATTGTGACCTGAGAAACAGGAAAATGTGAAACAAAGTATCCTAGGTTTAAGAAAATATTATATGTTCCTTGGTGCCTTTGAGAACCTACCAAATGAAGAATTCCACGAGTGTATAACGAGGGTCTTCTTAAATTTAGTGCACAGCCAACCTAATGAACTTTCTGTATAAGAATAATTGTTCAGTCACGTTAATTTATAGTTATTTTATACTAAGTATCTATGTCTGCATTGTATCATAAAGAAAAAATACAATTGGAAGCAGCATTTCCTTCTGTTTAAGTTTTGTTTTTTTAGTCATTTACTCTGTAGTTTACTTTTTCTCCCCAAAATGATGAGCATGTAATTTACCCTCTGGCCTCATCTGCCTACAGCCCCCAACCAGCCTTTATTCCTGCAGACTCGGGAGGCAGTGGGAGCTCCCAGTTAAGGACCCCGGACCCCTGCTCAGTCTTAGTCTAGTATCCTGACAGTCTTTGGTGAGGACACTCAGGATTTCCTTTATCCTCAGAGAGCAAAGTCCTTCCCACATGCCCTCCATCTAATTGGAAGTGAAATCCTGTTGAGAGGATAAGCCTCAGGCTGACTTTCCTTCTTGTTAGAATTAAATTCACACTTGGTGAGGAATTGACT